GACGGGCACCGCGAGGTGAGCCTGCGCCTGCCCCACGGCTGCCCCACGGCTGCCCCATAGCTGCCCCACGGCTGCCCCATGGCTGCCCCATAGCTGCCCCACGGCTGCCCCATAGCTGCCCCATAGATACCCCATAGTTGCCCCATAGATACCCCATAGTTGCCCCATAGATACCCCATGGCTGCCCCACAGCTGCCCCACGGCTGCCCCATAGATACCCCATGGCTGCCCCAGAGCTGCCCCATGGCTGCCCCAGAGCTGCCCCAGAGCTGCCCCATGGCTGCCCCATAGATACCCCGTGGCTGCCCCACAGCTGCCCCATAGATACCCCATGGCTGCCCCATGGCTGCCCCATGGCTGCCCCAGAGCTGCCCCATGGCTGCCCCATAGATACCCCATGGCTGCCCCAAAACTGACCCATAGATACTCCATGGATACTCCGTAGACACCCCAGAACTGCCCCATAGCTGCCCCATAGATACCCCATAGCTGCCCCACACCGCCCCATGGCTGAGCTGTGGCTGACCAGTGAGTTTCTTTGAGGTCCCATTGGGGTCTCCGCTGGGATCTCCATTGGGGTCCCTTTGGGGTCCCTTTGGGTCCCTTTGTGGCCCTGTTTGGGTCCTTTTGGGGTCCCTTTGGGGTCCTTTTGGGTCTCCTTTGGGGTCCGTTTGGGGTCCCTTTGGGTCCCATTGGGGTCCTGTTGGGGTCCCATTAGGGTCCTGTTTGGGTCCCGTTGGGGTCCTTTTGTGGTCCCTTTGGGGTCCTTTTGGGGTCGTTTGGGGGTCCCTTTGGGGTCCTTTTGGGGTCCCGTTGGGGTCCTTTTGCTGTCCCATTGGGGTCCCGTTGGGATCCTTTTGCTGTCCCTTTGGGGTCCCTTTGGGGTCCCTTTGGGGTCCCATTGGGTCCCGTTGGGGTCCCTTGGGGTCCCTTTGGGGTCCCGTTGGAGTCCTTTTGGGGTCCCATTGGGGTCCCTTTGGAGTCGTTTTGGGGTCCTGTTGGGGTCCCATTGGGGTCCCGTTGGAGTCCTTTTGGGGTCCCTTTGGGGTCCCATTGGAGTCCCGTTGGGGTCCCGTGGGGGTCCCTTTGGGGTCCCATTGGGGTCCCGTTGGGGTCCTTTTGCTGTCCCTTTGGGGTCCCATTGGGGTCCTTTTGGGGTCCCGTTGGGATCCCTTTGGGGTCCCACTGGGTCCCATTGGGGTCCCTTTGGGGTCCCTTTGGGTCCCTTTGTGGCCCTGTTGGGGTCCCATTGGGGTCCTTTTGGGGTCCCGTTGGGGTCCTTTTGGGGTCCTTTTGCTGTCCCTTTGGGGTCCCATTGGGGTCCTTTTGGGGTCCCATTGGGGTCCCGTTGGAGTCCTTTTGGGGTCCTGTTGGGGTCCCGTTGGGGTCCTTTTGCTGTCCCTTTGAGGTCCCATTGGGGTCCCGTTGGGGTCCCGTGGGGGTCCCTTTGTGGCCCCGTTGGGGTCCCGTTGGGGTCCCTTTGGGTCCCACTGTCCTTGCCCGCAGGTGGGTGTGTGGCACTCCAACCGCACGCTGGCCATGAACGCCACCTCGCTGTCCCTCAACGCGTCCGACAGCCTGGCCAACAAAACCCTCATCGTCACCACCATCCTGGTGCGCTCCCGGCCGGGGGGGCGGGGGGTGGGGGGGTCTATGGGGGTCTCGTGGGGGGGTCCGACGGGGGTCCTGGGGGGCGTCAGGGGAGTTTGGGGGCTCCTACGGCCAACCAGACCCCAGTGGTCACCGCCATCCTGGCGCGCTGCTGGGTCTGGGGGTCCTGGGGGGTCCTGGGGGGTCTTAGGGAAGTTCTGGGGGTCCCAAGAGTTCTTGAGGGGTTTTGAGGGTCTTGGGGGGGTCTGGGGGTCCTGGGGGGGTCCTGGGGGGTTCTGCAGTGGTTTTCCATTGGGATTCCTGCTGGGGTCTCCATCGGGGTCCCTTTGGGGGTCTCCATCGGGTGCCCTTTGGGGTCTCCCTTAGGGTCCCTATTGGGGTCCCTTTGGGGGTCTCCATTGGGGTCCCTTTTGGGTTCCCGTTGGGGGTCTCCATCGAGGTCCCCTTTAGGGTCTCCATGGGGTTCTCGTTGGGGTCTCCCTTATGGTCTCTATTGGGGTCCTTCTGGGGTCTCCATTGGGTTCCCTTTGGGGTCTCCCTTAGGGTCTCCATGGGGTCCCTTTGGGGGTCCCCTTTGGGGGTCCCCTTTGGGGGTCTCCCTTAGGGTCCCTATTGGGGTCCCTTTGGGGGTCTCCGTCGGGTCCCCTTTGGGGTCTCCATTGGGGTCTCCATTGGGGTCCTTTTGGGGTCTCCATCGAGGTCCCCTTTGGGGGTCTCCATTGGGGTCTCCATTGGGGTCTCCATTGGAGTCCTTTTGGGGTCTCCATGGGGTCCCTTTGGGGGTCTCCATTGGGGTCTCCCTTAGGGTCTCCATGGGGTCCCTTTGGGGGTCTCCATGGGGTCCCTATTGGGGTCCCGTTGGGGGTCTCCGCGGGGTCCCCTCTGGGGTCTCCGTCAGGCTCCCCGAGGCGCCCCTCGCTGACCGCCGCCCCCCCAGGAGAACCCGTACGTGATGCGGGTGGGGGGCGCGGGCGGCGCGGAGCGCTACGAGGGCTTCTGCGTGGACATGCTGCGCGAGCTGGCCGCGCTGCTCAAGTTCCGCTTCCGGCTGAAGCTCGTGGACGACGGGCTGTACGGCGCGCCCGAGCCCAACGGCTCCTGGACCGGCATGGTGGGCGAGCTCATCAACAGGGTGCGTGGGGGGGTCATCAACAGGGGGCGTGGGGGGGCGAGCTCATCAACAGGGTGCGTGGGGGGGGCATCAACAGGGGGC